TCACATAAATATCTATTTTAAATATTTTAAACTGAAAATAAGTCAAAATGCCTATTAGCAATCGGATGGTTAATTAGATTGTGATATATTCACACAATAAAATACTATACAGCACTAGGAAGAAACAGACTCTAAGTACACACAATAACATGGATGAATCAAATAACTTAAGGTTGAGCAGAAAGCAAAAACTCATACAGTATGATTCATTTACATAGAATTTAAAAAAAAAAAACAAAAAAAAAAAAAAAAAAAAAAAAAAAAAAAAAAAAAGGAAATTATAGGCCAATAGCCCTGATGAACATAGACACAAAAATCCTCAACGAAATATTGGCAAACCAAGTTCGGCAGTACATTAAAAAGATCATAAACTACAATCAGGTGGGATTTATTCCTAGGATCCTGGGAATGTGATACGCCACATCAACAAAATGAAGGATAAAAATCATATGATCATAACAATAGGTGCGGAAAAGCACTAGACAAAATCCAACATCCATTTATGATAAAAACTCTCACAACATGAGGACAGAGGAAGCGTACCTCAACATAATAAAGGCTGTATATGACAAACCCACAGCTAATATCATACCCAACAGTGAAAAGCTGAAAGCTTTTTTGTTAAGATCAGGAACAAGACACCGATGTCCACTTTCACCACTTTTATTCAACAGAGTACTGGAAGTCCTAGCCACAACAAATGGACAAACAAACAAACAAACAAACAAATAAATGAAAGGCATCCAAATTGGAAAGGAAGAAGTAAAACTGTCATTATTTATTGATGACATACTATATAGAGAGAACCCTAAAGAGTCCACCAAAAAACTATTGGAACTTATAAACGAATTTGGTAGCGTAACAGGATATAAAATTAGTATTCAGAAATTCAGAAACTGGTTGCATTTTTGTACACTAATAATGAATTATCGGAAAGGAAAATTAAGAAAACAATCTCATTTACAGCTGCATCAAAAAGAATAAAATACCTAGGGATAAATTTAATCAAGGAGATAAAAAGACCTATACTCGGAAAACTATAAGACACTGAAGAAAGAAACTAAAAAAGATACAAATAAATGGAAGCATATACCGTGCTCATGGATAGGAAGAATTACCATCGTTAAAATGTCCATGCTACCCAAGGTAATCTACAGATTCAATACAATCCCTATCAAAATACCAATGGCCTTTTTCACAGAACTAGCACAAATAATCCTAAAATTTGTATGGAACCACAAAAGACCCCGAATAGACAAAACAATCTTGAGGAAAAAGAACAAAGTTGGAAGTATCATGCTACCTGATATCAAACTATATCACGAGGCTACAGTAATCAAAACTGGCATAAAAACAGACACAAAGATCAATGGAACAGAACAGAGAGCTCAGAAATAAATCCAGCCTTTATGATTAATTAATCTATGACAAAGGCAGTAAGAATATACAATGGGGTAAAGACAGTCTCTTCAATAAAAGGTGTTGGGAAAACGGGACAGATACACGTGGAAAAATGAGACTAGACCACTTTCTTATACCGTATGCAAGAATAAACTCAAAATGGATTAAAGGCTTAAATATAAGACCCAAAACCATAAAACTCCTAGAAGAAAACATGGGCAGTCAACTCTGTGATAACACTCTTAGCAGTATCTTTTTGGATATGTCCCCTCGGGTGAAGGAAACAAAAGAAAAACAAATGGGACCACATCAAACTAAAAGGTTTCTGTACAGCAATGGAAACCGTCGACAAAACAGAAAGACATCTACTGAATGGGAGGAGATATTCACAAATGATACATCCAATAAGGGCTAATACCCAAAATATATAAGAAACTGATAGACTTTAACTCCCAAAAAACAAACAATCCAATTAAAAAATGGGCAGAGGACCCGAACAGACATCTCTCCAAAGAGGACATACAGATGGCCAACAGACATATGAACAGATAGATAAACAGATAGATACTCAGCATCGCTAATCATCAGGCAGATGCAAATTGAAACTACAACAAGATATCACCTCACACCCATCAGGCCGGCTATCATCAATAAATCAACAAACAAGCATTGGCAAGGATGTGGAGGAAAGGGAACCCTCATGTAAATTGGTACAGCCGCTATGGAAAACGGCATGGAGGTACCTCAAAAAATTAAAAGTAGAACTACCATATGATCCAGCAATTCCACTTTTGGGTATTTATCCAAAAAAATCCAAAACACCAGTTCAAAAAGACAGATGCATCCCTGTGTTCACTGCAGCATTATTTACAATAGCCAAGATATGGAAGAAACCTAAATGCCCATCGACAGACGAATGGATAAAGAAGAGGCATTACTTGGACATAAGAAGAATGAAATGTTACCATTTGCTACAGCTTGGATGGACCTAGAGGGTATTATGCTAAATGAAATAAGTCAGAGAAAGACAAATACCATATGATTTCACTTATATGTGCAATCTAAAAAACAAAACAAACAAACAAAACAAACAAATTCGTAGATACGAAGAACAAATTGATGGCTGCCAGATGGGAGGGCGCTTGGGACGATGGGTGAAAAAGGGGACAGTATTGGCAGTTATAAAAATAGTCACAGGGATGTAAAGTACAGCATAGGGAGTATAGTCAATGATACTGTAATAACTATGCATGGTGTCAGATGGGTACTTGACTTATTGGGCTGATCACTTTGTAAGTTACATAAATGTCTAATCACTATGTTGTACACCCAAAACTAACGTATTGTATATCAAGTATCATTGAAAAATAAGAAAAAATTATATTTAAAAAATGTACCACATATAGAAAAAAAGTCCATAGAGGCTGCATGTGAGTTAATAGAGATTACTAATAACCGAAGGAAATAATATGGCCTTGGAAATATTGGGAGAGGGGACTCCACAACTTGGTGAGAGTTATTGTGTGCCAGATGCTCTACACCCTCTTCTCTCAACCTGGCTGCAATGTGGAGCTTGCTGGACATCCTTTGGTGGAACCTCTCAGTTGCTGTAGGTAGGTTCAAGAACTAGTCCAAGCAGTTTGAGAAAGCATTTAGCTGTATCTACTTAAGTTAAACACATGTCTACCCTATGATCTGGTAACTGCACTCCTCTGAATATACTCAACAGAAACAACTGCATGCGAACAAGAATGATCAAAGCGGTCCGATTTGTTATAGCCCCAAACTGGACACTAAACAAATACCTATGACCACTAGATAGAAAAGAGTATGCATGATTCCAATGATATATCAAGTTCAAAACAGGTAAACCTTATAGGTTATTTGGGTGTCACTCTCTCATAGGCCAAGAGAGTGACACCCAAAGGGGCAAAAGCAAGATTCTGAGTGCTAGTTATGTTCATCTTGTAAAAATTCAATGACCTGCACACTTACCACTTGTGTTCTTTTCTGTTTATGAAATATTACTCAGCAATAAAAAGGAATGAACTCTTGAATGCAACAGCTCAGATGGATCTCAAGGGCCTTGTGCTGAGTATAAAGGCCATCTCTAAAGGTGTCATACAATACAACTCCATTTATGAAACATTGGGAGAAACTCAGTGAAGGACAAAACTTTGTAACTTCCTATAAATCTATAATTATTTCAAAATAAAAAGTAAAAGTAAAATTCCTTTGGTGGCTGTCCATTGAAAACCTTTTAACCTTAGAGCCAGTGCCCCAGCTTGTCCCACCTGGCATGGGGCTGCTCACAGTAGCCTCTAATTAAACAAATATTCACTGAAAGAGCCAGTGGATACTTGTACCTAGAGAAAATCTTCCTAGGACACACTGCCATCCTGCTTCAAATGCTTCACTATCCCTACTGCTCAACAGCCAGACCTGAGTATGAAACTCTGGTCTGCTATATCCTATGTGACACTGACCAAGTCACTAAACCTCTCTGAGCCTGCTTCCTTACGAGTGATATCATAGTAAGTTCCTCACATAGGACCTGACTATGGATGAGTGATCCCCTGCTTTCTCAGTCCAGCAAATCAGCTCCACTCTGGACCTACTGGGGATCAAGGCCTAAACATACCTAAACAAGGCCTTGAAGAAGAGCTGGGAGATAGGAGGCTATGCCTCAGAGGCAGGGATTGTAGCTCCATCCCTAACTAGACCCTCTGATAAGTCCCTTCTCTGTTCTGGGCTGGTTTCCATCTTTAAAATGGGAGTGTAAAGACTACATTTAAAAAGAAACAATGAGGTCTAAGCTAAAACTTGTATGGCTTCAAATATGTTTATATATTCAATTCCACTATATTCAGTAGGGCCTATCTCTAAGACGCAAGTAAGCAATCCCTGATAAAGCAGTTTATAAAGTGCTCTCAAAGCCATTACTTTCTGGAACCCTCCCTATGATACTGGGAGGTGATCTTCATACCTGTCTTCCAGGTGAGCAGACTGAGGTCTTGGCTGGAGGAAGGGGCAAAGCTTCCTTCTTACCATACCATCTGATTCTCCAGGAACCCAGGCTTCACAATTCAGAGCAGAAGGTAGTTGAGTGCCAGATGACCCTAACTGCCCACCCAGTACCTCCTCCTCAGTGACAGCATAGATGTTGATCTCTTCCTCCTCTTCCTCCTCCTCTTCCTTTTCTCCTCTTGCCAGCCGGGCCTCTTTCTCTGCTTTCCACTTTTCCACTAATTCGGCTCTGACTGAAGACAAGGGAGAGTAGGTGTTACTTTGGTCTCTAAATAAGCTTTAAACACTATGCAAGGGAAGACCAAGATGTTACCCTAGGAAAGGGACATCTGTCATTCTGCTCTGGTGGGTGAAAACTGGATGTAAGGAGCAGTCTGGTCTTACAACAGCTCTGGCTTTAAGTCTCTACAAGGCAGCTTTTTAGGAAACATCCTCAGATCCTCCCCAGTTCACCAACCTGCTGGCTTCCTGATATGCTCACATGAAAATGGAGATGCAGTTGTACAGCATGCTGGCAAAGAGCTCCAATTCCTAAGCTTCCAAAGCCCTAGCTCAGTGAACCACGTAGGGAGCAGCACTAACTTATTCTTCACAGGGTTGTCATGAGGCTTCAAAAGAACATCCATAAAAGGTTCAGCATAATGTCTGGCATAGAAGAAGCACTCAGAAAGGGAGACCCATCTTGCTCTACAGTGATAGCCCATTAGCTGTGTTTAAAACAGATTTAAATCTCCTTAAGTGGGCACCAATTCATGATTTCAAGAAAAGCCAGTCCAGGAAGGAATCTAGATGATGATTCCTAATGGACAGGGACCAGGTCAGATGCCACTCTCTGGTTTCCCCAGTATGCTCCTTCAGGCCCAACACCACACTAACTGCCTCATAGTTACTGTGTGTGTGTGTGGCGGGGGGTCATTAGACAGACCATTTCTTCTGAAGACCATTAGCAACAAAGAAAACTCCTTTTTGGAATAAAGCACTATTTAAAAGCCCATTTTCAAAGGAGAGAACAGAAACCAGATACCAACCAGTAATGAAATAAAATGCCTGCAAACCTACATCTCTTTTCATATTCCTGCTCCAAAGGCACAATAACACCATCGTCTTCATCTAGGTAACCATAGTATTCAAAATCAATTGCCTTCATGAGCTCAGCACGTGTCTTTCTCGGAGGAGGAAGAGCTGAAAGAAAGAGCATTGACATAGCTGAATTTCCCATCACGATCACACTCAAGCCTTCCCCCTACACAATGTTACACAGGCATACAGTACATGTGTTCATGAAAATATGAAAAGGCACTTCTCTACACTGCTAATAGGATTATATAAGTGGTACTAACCTTTTAAAAATCAGTGTTGAAATCTTTGACCCAATTAGTCCATTTAAAAGGAAACTATCCTAAATTAATAAACAAAAGCTGGCAAAGGTTTATGGACAGAGATGTATATCACAGCACTATTTATATAACAGTGAAAACTTGGAATAAGCTAGGATTATTAATTGCAGGATGTGTGGGATGGGGTAGCCTGCAGCCCTGATAACGCTGTTTCACAAGGTACTTTGATAACACTGGAAATGCCATAATTTTTCATTGAGAAAACCATAATGGGAAAACATAAGTATATAGGTAACACAAAAGAAGCTATAAAAGAACAAAAAAGATAAATGAGAAAGTTATGAAGAAAATATTTTCAGACTAAGGATTACTATTCAGAATATTTAAGTAATTCTTGAAAATCAAAAGGGAAATGACAACAGACTAGTCAAAGAATAAAAGCTGATAATTTAAGGAAAAACTCATGCACGAAAATTTCAATTAGTGATTGGATTGAATCATCAATTTCATTAGTAATCAGAGAAATAAAAAATATTTTTCAGCCATCAGATCAGCAAAAATATTTACAATTATGAAAATCTGGAAATAACTAGACGTCTACCGAAGAAGGAATGGTTTTATAAAGTTATGGTTCATTCATACCATGATATTCTCTAATCTTTCTCACCCATTAATAGAGTTCTAAGTAGAACTGTGGGAGAATATCAATGGATATCACAACATGACAGGTATGGGAGAGCCACTGTGTTTTGGCAAGCCTCCATCTGCTGCTGCTACCACTCTGAGTCAGTGTGTTGTGGGTGGTAGTCACCATGTTGGCTGCAACCAGGACAGAGTGCTAGGCTGAAATCTGGCTGGTTCACAGCACTGCACTCAACCACAGGGACTGGTTTAAGGGTGGAACTATGATCTAATCAAAACCAAACAAATTCAATTCTGAGAATTTTGCTTGAACTGCTGAGAGAGGGCAAATATTAAGTCAATGACAGACACAAGCCTTGAAAAGTTAGAGAAAAAAAAACCTCACACAATGGAAGTCAAAACTACAATACAGAGAAATATGAACTACAATCAGTCACTCCTGATTACCTGTGGGCTTTTCAGTTATGTGAGCCAATAAATTTAGGCTTTTGTGCCTAAAGTGAATTGGGGTTGGGTCACCTGTCACTTTTACTAATGAAAGTTAGCTGATGGACTAACCATAAAAGTGCATGTAAAAAAGCCTGGAAGGGAACATGCCAAACAGATGATAATGGTTACCAGTTAACTCTAGCAGGGGCACTGTGACTAGGGAAGGAAGGGGGGTGGTCAAGAGGGCTGTACTATACTATTCAAATTATACTCGATTAACTTAGGCACTTTCTTGTTTAAAAAAAAAATCTATGACTGGAATAAATAAAAATAAATTAAGAAAAATGTAAATGAAAAAAATAAACACATAGACTATAACATCAATTTAGGAGCCCCAACACCACCATCACAATCCTTAAAAAACTGGAAGGAAATATGCCCTGACATGTCAACAATCATCATCAATACGTTATGAAAACGCAGGTGGTTTTTTTCTTATTTCTGTATTTTACAACTTATCTGCAATAAAATTATATTGCTTTGATAATGAACAGCATAATATTTAAACTCTAAATTATTTTAAAGCAATGTTAATGACACGTGCAAAAGCAGTTTTAGCATAATGAATTTAAAAATAAGCAGGGTTAATAAAGGTAGAATTATATTTTTAAATTGGTGAGAATACTGGTATCACTCTTTTCTGCTTTTCACACTTTTTCTATAGTGTTTAGACTACTTTTCCAAAAAGCAAAATTAAAATACAGACATACTTCATTTCATTGTGATTTGCTTTATTGTGCTTTAGACATTGTGTGGCAACACTGCTTCCAGCAAGTCTTTGGCACCGTTTTTACAACAGCACTTGTTCACTTTGTGTCTGTCACATTTTGGTAATTCTCCCAGTATTTCAAACTTTTTCATTATTATTATATTTGTTATGGTGATCTGTGATCAGTGGTCTTTGATATTATTACTGTAATTGTTTTGGGGCACCACAAACCACACCCATATAAGACAGCAAACTTAATCAATTACTGTGTGTTCTGACTGCTGTGCTGCCCATTTGTTCCCCCATTTCTCTCCCTCTCCTTGGGTCTCCCTATACTCCGAGACACAACAATATTGAAATTAAGCCAATTAATAACCCTACAATAGTCTGTAAGTGTTCAAGTGAAAGGAAGAGTCACATGTCTCAAACCTTAAATCAAAAGCTAGAAATGATTAAGTTTAGTAAGGAAGGCATGTCCAACGCTGAGATAGGTCGAAAGTTAGGCCTCTTGAACCAAGCAGTTAGTCAAGCTGTAAATGCAAAGGAAAGTTCTTGAAGGAAATTAAAATTGCTACTCCAGTGAACACATGAATTATAAGAAAACAGAAGACTTATTGCTGATGTAGAGAAAATTTTAGTGGTCTGCAGAAAAGATCAAGCCAGCCCACGACATTCCTTTAAGCCAAAGCCTAATCCAGAGCTAGGACCTAACTCTCTTCAATTCTATGAAAACTGAGAGAGGTGATGAAGCAGCAGAAGAAAAGTTTGAAGTTACCAGAGGATGGCTGATGAGGTTTAAGAAAAGAGGCCATCTCCATAGCATAGAAGTACAAGATGAAGCAGCAAGTGCTGCTGTAGAAGCTGCAACGAGTTATCCAGAAGATCCAACTAAGATAATTAATGAAGGTGGCTACACTAAACAGATTTTCAATAGGTGAAACAGCCTTATACTGGGAGAAGATGCCATCTGGAACTTTCATAGCTAGAGAGAAGTCAATACCTGGTTTCAAAGCTTCAAAGGACAAGCTGACTCTCTTATTAGAAGCTAATGCAGCTGGTGACTTTAAGTTAAAGCCAATGCTCATTTACCATTCTAAAAATCCTAGGGCCCTTAGAGATAATGCTAAATCTACTCTGCTTGTGCTATATAAATGAAACAATAAAGCTTGGATGACATCACATCTGTTTACAACATGGTTTTCTAAATATTTCAAGCTCACTGTTGAGACCTACTGCAGAAAAAAAAGGATTCCTTTCAAAATATTACTGCTCATTGACAATGCACCTGGTTACCCAAGATCTCTGATGGAGATGTACAACGAGATTAATGTTGTTTTCATGCCTGCTAACAAAATATCCATTCTGCAGCCCATGGTTCAAGGAGTAATTTCAACTTTGAAGTCTTATTATTTAAGAAACACATTTCATAAGGCTATGGCTGCCAGAGATAGTGATTCCTCTGATGGATCTGGGCAAAGTAAATTGAAAGCCTTCTGAAAAGGTGTCACCATTCTAGATGCCATTAAGAACATTCACAACTCATGGAAAGAGGTAGAAATAGCAACATTGACAGGAGTTTGGAAGAAGTTGATTCTTGGATGACTTTGAAGGGTTTAAGACTTCAATGGATGAAGTAACTGCAGATGTGGTAAAAATAGGAAAAGAACTAAAATTACAAGTGTAACTTGAAGATGTGACTAAATTGCTGCAATTTCATGATAAAACTTAAATGGATGAGGAGTTGCTTCTTACGGATCAGCGAAAAAAGTGGTTTCTTAAGATGGAATCTACTCCTGGTGAAGATCCTGTGAAGGCTGTTGAACTGACAACAAAGGATTTAGAATATTACATAAACTTAGTTGATAAAGCAGTGGAAGGGCTTAAGAAGATTGACTCCAATTCTGAAAAAAGTTCTATTGTGGATAAAATGTTATCAAACGGCATAGCATGCTACAGAGAAATAGTTCATGTAAGGAAGAGTGAATCGATGCTCATCGTTGTCTTATTTTAAGAAACTGCCACAGCCCACCCCAGTCTTCAGCAACCACCACCCTAATCAGTCATCGGCCAGCGACATCGAGGTAAGACTTTCCACCAGCAAAAATATTATGACTTACTAAAGGGTCTGATAATGGTTAGCATTTTTTTAGCAATAAAGTATTTTTTAATTAAGGTATGTACATTGTTTTTTAACATAATGCTATTATTGCACTTAAAAGACTACAGTATAGTGTAAGCATAACTTTTATATGCACTGGGAAACAAAAAATTCATGACCCATTTTATTGAGAAATTCGCTTATTGCAATGATCTGGAACCAAAGCTTTAATATCTCCAAAGTATACTTTTACACAAAAACTCCAGATCAGTGGTTTCCAACTGTGTTTTGGAAAGCCAAGGTTTTGCTGAAGTTCTCCAGGGCCAAAGAAGAAAAGGGCAAGAGAGGTGAGGATGCCTGGACTGACACAAAACAGCTTTATTTTTCTCTATTTTTATTTTATTTCTCTTTTTTCTATTGTGGTTTGGCCCAAGGTTTTATTTGTCCTTCAGTTAGTACTTTTTCAAATAATAAGTGGAAATAAACCCTATTCAATGAACTTTAGAGTCTGCCCAAACAATTTTGGGAAACTTCAAACAGGGGAACTCCTCATTCAGAATGAGAAACTGGCATGTGCAAAGGGTGTGGAATTTGGCACCAGTAAATTCTGGGTACTTTCCAGCCCCCACTGTGTGTCCTGGGCTCCTGACTTCAACTCCTAGTGCTAAGATTTTTCATTTAAGATTTGGAAACAATAATTCCGACACTATAGGGCTTTGTGCAGCTGAGAAATAATACAGGAAAAGCACCCAGCACATAGCGTTGTCTACTGTTATGATTATCGAAAATTCAAGGCTAGCTTTTTTGGCTCTCTAAGCAGCAGCATGGCAGTTGGCAAGAACAGGCACCTTACAAAAGGCAGCAAAAAGGAAGCCAAGAAGAAAGTGGTTGATCCATTTTCTAAGAAAGACTGGTATGATGTGAAAGCACCAGCTATGTTCGATATATGAAATACTGGAAAAACACTAGTGTTCTTGTGAGAACTCAAGGAACCCAAATTACATCTGATGGTATCCAGGGTTGTGTTTTTGAAGTGAGCCTAGCTTATCTGCAGAATGATGAAGTTGCATTTAGAAAATTCAAGCTAATTAGTGAAGATGTTCAAGGCAAAACTGTCTAATTCCATCGCATTGATCTTAATCCATTACAAAATGTGTTCCATGTTCAAAAAATGTCAGACTATGACTGAAGTTCATGTTGATGTCAAGACTACTGATGCTTATTTGCTTCACCTATTCCATGCTGGTTTTACTAAAATATGCAGCAATCACACTCAGAAGATCCCTTATGCTCAGCATCAACAAGTCTGCCAAATCTCAAAGATGATGGAAATCATGACCCAAAAGGTGCAGACAAATGACTTGACAGAAGTGGTCAATAATCTGATTCCAGGTAGCACTGGAAAAAAAAAAAAAACCCATAAAAAAGGCTTGCCAATCTATCTACCCACATCATAATGTCTTTGTTAGAAAAGTAAAAATGCTCAAGAAGCCCAAGTTGAACTGGGAAAAACTCATGGAGCTTCAAGGTGAAGGTAGTAGTTCTGGAAAAGTTCCTGGAGATGAGATAGGTGCTAAAGTTGAACAAGTTGATGGATGTGAGCCCTCAGTCCAAGAATCTGTTTAAAAATTCAGACCTTTAATGGTGACAAATAAATACCTATTAGATATTTAAACACACACACACACACACACACACACACACACACACACGGCTAAAACCACCCAAACATTAATTACTTACGTTCTTTTTCAAATAGCTCTCTAACACCAGGCAAATCTTTTGCTGCTCCAAAGTATTTGTAACCTCGATTTCCTGGGACTTCTTTCCCTTCATGATCTAGCATTTTAGGGCCAACTTTCTTATTGGGAAGGAAAAAGAGAAAATGAAATCTGATCCTTAAACCCACTATTTCCATGTTTGCAAATATATTTTAAGATAATAATGCTTAACATGAAAAATATATATGTACACAGAAAAATATTTAGGTACTCTTTTATTCCTTAAAATCAACCTAAATTCCTAAAAGTAGGAGGACGATTTAAGTAAATCATAGCATATTTATGGATGCAATAAATATGATGGTTCCTATAAAACTCTTATATTAATTTTGAAATGCTTATGATACGATGTTAAGTGACAAAAGCTTATTAAAAAAATTGTAAACCACATACATGACAAGCAATAGAAAATGAAATATCCAGAAGACAGAATTCCGTCCATTAAAAATAATGATGTCAACAACTACATGTAGTGTATAGGTCCCATACTAGAGGGAAAACAGATCAGCCAAGTAGTTACATAAAGTTATTGTACCAGAGTTAAATGTCTTAAACTTGATAGCTCTACCATGGTCATATAAGAGGACATTCTTATTCTTAGAAACTATACACAGAAGTATTAAGGGGCAAAGGAGCATCATGTATTTAAGCTTCAAATGGTTCAGAAAAATAAATCTCAAGGTACAAATAATAAAGCAATACAGCAAAATGTTAAAAACTAGAAAAATCTTTATAAAGGATTTAAGTTCTCTGTATATTTTTGCAACTTTCTGTAAGCTCAAAGATGCTTTTAAAACTGATTATATAAATGATTATTTGACCTGAAAATATGCTCCTTATATACTGTTATGTGAACAAAGCATATAGAATATGAACCAACTTCTATAAAAATAAACATATATATGCACAGAAAAAATTCTAGGAAATGTTAATAGCAGCTATTTCTTGGTGGTAGGAAAATATTTAATATATTTTATAACACACAGGATACTATATAAAATTTTTATATTTTATAATTTTTATACTTTTTTGCATAAAAGTATATATCATTCATATAATCAAAATTATTATAGAACCAAAACTGTACATATAGGAATATGATATCAATTATAGCATTCACAAAAAATAAGAAAAGGAAATATTCAAATAGTTGCACCTAGGTAATGGGACTATAACTGACTGTTCTGCTTCTTTATACTTTTCTGAACTTGATAATGTATTACTTTTTCTTTTTTTGATTGTGGTAAAATTCACATATCATAAAATTTACCATCTTAACCATTTTTATGTGCACAGTTAAGTGGTTTTAAATACAATCACAATGTCATGTATCCACAACTATCATCCATCACCATAACTCTTTGCCTTATAAAACTGAAACTCTAAATGTATTACATTTATACATATAAAATGAAAATAAATTTCTTCTTTATAGGTATATAGGGTGAATTTATAGAGTTAATACCAGGAAGTTTCTTGATACTCTTGTTCTTTTTTGAAAATACTTTTTTAATTTTTCAATTATAGTTAGCATACAATATTACATTAGTTTCAGGTGTAGAAAATAAAATTTTATGCATTAAAAAACTCAATGTTAACTTTGGGTGGTGGAACTTAAGAATACCTTACATATTAATTTTGTAATGCTTCTGAGGTCACTTTTCTAGGAGGGTTAATAAATCTCCGCATTACTTTAATGCAGTTTGACAGAAAACAAAATCACCATCACAAAACTGCTGAATGAGAAAGTTCCTAGTACAGTGCCTAGAACAGAGCAAGTTCTCAAGAAATGTGCGTGCCTTTCCTTCTGTAATGGGAAAAATAAATGCTTCATTTTTATTCCAGGTATTAAAGTGAGAATTATGGTTGTGCTAGACCTTCACGAAGGTGAAAAGACCATCATGTAAAAAAACTACATGCATTTCATATATATATGCATATATATGAAAACATACATATATTTTCTCACCTTTTGTAAAGGTCTAACACAACCATAATATATATATAACACATTACAGTTCACTTATTAGATACTATTGGTTCAAATGACCTGAGGCAGATCTCTTCACAAATGAGTGAGCGATGAAAGCTCTGGGTCAGTATTTTTCAAAACTGAGACCCAGTAGTGTGTCATGAAATCAATTGAGTCACAATCATCAATTTCTTAAAAATCAAAATAGATCAGAATAGAAAATACTAAAGTCCATCAACACATACTAAGTGTTTTTTTTAGCACATTTCTGTGTTTACCAGGTTATGATATGAAGAGAGAGAGAGAGAGTGTGTGTGTGTGTGTGTGTGTGTGTGTGTGTGTGTGTGT